GCTTCAGCCTGTCTACTGGGGATGCAGACCGGTTTGCGTTTTGAATAGCTACCAGTATGTAAGGCCCATTGGTATCCATGCGGGTTGCCCCCGGAGACGGCCAGGGGCATATTGTCGCAGTAGCGTAACGTTTGGCGGCGTCATGGCACTAATTGACACTACTGGATCAAGTAGATACCCAGGTACCTAAAGTATTGGAATCAATAGGAATTCTCCGGACGTCAGAGCCGAGATCCGCTGCTGCATGTGTAACTGGAAGTTACAACTCTGGTATCGCGCGAGGAGCCAACTACATCCATGTAAATACATACATCAATACATATTATGAATTCCCTCAACTAAAATATCAGACTTAGAAGGCGCGTATATGAATTCATATCCAGTACCTTCCTAGAATGTAGCCAGCACTATCTAATGGTACAAGGGAATTCAAACCGTCATTGAATACTACATGTAAGACACATGATACTGTACTATGTACTCAGCCGGCAGGTAGAAGCTTTATCAGGTGCAACAACCCAACACACTGTAGAAACATGTCTATCTGACTCTTGTCAACTCTTAATCCAAGGCACTTATTTCTAAACTCCAATGTTCTACATAATTCTGATACCAGGTGTGCATCTTTACCCACGCATATTTTACCGCGCATTTCTTATGGACCTTCAAAGAGATATCCCACAATCTATCTCGGTGGAAGACCAAGACACGGATATATGCATGGTCCAATTCGTTTCTTCAGCAAGGCTTCATAGCAAACGACATTTCATGTGATTTGTTATTTGTCTTTAATTGATCTGAGCCGCGAAAGGTAACTTTCGTTTGTTGATCTCTGGAATCTACTCGCGTCCGAAAACCTTCCGGGTGTCTCTTTAAATGCCATTCCCTGATTCCTAGGTAACTCGCACATCCCCTCTCTTTACCTATTAGCTATTTCAGCCATCCTACTGAACTGTATTGTACTAACATCTTTAGAGTTCATGATGGCTTTGCATGACTTTCACGACAAGGCCGACTGGCTCGCATTTGTTGGCAAAATTAGAGAAAAGGCGAGGAAAGCAGATCGTCGAAAGGGCGAAAAGCCCCAAGACCACCCTTCCGCCAGCTTTCTCGTTGAGAATTTTATGTCGCAACTCAATGAAGCCCCCGGCGCCGCCCCCCAAGGTCGCATGTCGCTTGATACAACGCTAACAGTGCCTCATTACCTTCCATGTATTCGTCCCGACTACGAACTTAGACCCCTAATGATATCATCTATGGCACTTGAGACCCATCACCGAGGGAGTCAAACCTTACTCCGGGTCCTGACACCTCCTGCATGGCTGAGCATGGTCTTAGCTATCGTCGAAGACGAAGAGGGTACTGGGGCCCTACTTCAGCTCTACAATCAACCTGAGAAGACCAAGGTCGGCGACAATATTCTTCAAGTTGGAGACGTCTGTATCATCAAAGAGCCATTTTTCACCCAGTTCGTTCCTGACCGCAACCATTACGTGTTGCGAGTGGATCACGTTAGCGACATTATCTGGCTCCAGGACTCCGACCCTCGAATTCCGTCGAAGTGGAGGAAGAAGGCTGAGAGCCTGAGTGAAACCTCCCAGGATATACGTTTGCAAGGAAATGCAGCAGTACAGAAGGGGAATTGGGCCGAAGCAGAGAGACTGTGAGTAATCAGAGGTAAGCAGCAGGCTTCGATCAAGGGCTAATTAAAGGTTACAGGTACACAAAAGCTATACTTGCTGCCAAATCCCCAGAAGAGAAGCAGCTGGCTTATCTCAACCGCTCTCTCACCAATCTTCGTCTCGACCGGCCAGATAAAGCACTTGATGACGCATCCAAAGGCAATCCGGACGAGGGCCCCCCAAGAGAGAAGGCTGTATTTAGAGAAGCTCAAGCTCTCTACTCTCTTCGAAAGTTTGATTCCTGCTTGGAGAAGTTAGTCGTCCTCGTGCGCTCCAACCCGAAGAATTCGGACGCATGGGCCGAGATCAGGCGAGTCCAACAACGTTTACGAGAAGAAAAAACAGGATCGTACAAGTTTAACGACATGTACAAGCAAGCCGAAGCAACTCCACCCCTAATAGATTGTGCAACATACATTGGGTCGGTGGGTGTTCGCGATTCACCCGGCCGGGGCAAGGGTCTCTTTACTACCAAGCCAGTCAAGGCAGGTGAGCTTCTGCTATGCGAGAAGGCCTTTGGGTACATCTACGCTAGCGATGACAGCCCTATTGGTATTTCGAACACAAAACTCATGGTGGATGAGGACTGTGATACTTTCTACATAGGCGGGCAGGCCGATCTCTACCCTCAGGTTATTCAGAAGCTATACCACAATCATGCAGGGTCGGAGAAATTCCGTAGCTTGGATCATGGCAACTATAACCCCGTCAATATATCCGAAGTGGACGGAGCCCCCGTGGTTGATACGTAGGTCGACCCTGAATCATAGGCGGTTGGTCAATGATAAATCTAACGAACAGACAAACAGGTTCTTTGTCTCAAAGATTTGCAAAGTCAACGGCTTCGGCGCACCACGTACTACCCAAGCAGGCCTCGCGACATCCGTCAGAGGAGTGTTAAAAGAAGATGTATCTGCTGCGGACAACTCATGCGGCGTCTGGCTTCTCGCATCCCGCATTAATCATTCATGCATCCCGAACTGCGTCCGTTCCTTTATCGGCGACATGCAGGTTATTAGGGCTTGCGTAGACATGGAGGCTGGGACGGAGATACACTTCCAGTACCGCAGCCCTGAGCCAAATGAGAACTTCGAAGAAACCCAGAAGCTTCTCTTGCGTCAATGGGGATTTACCTGTGACTGCGCGCTGTGCCGGAATAAAAAGTCGACCCCTCCAGAAATATTCCAAAAGCGCAAGCAGTTATATGGAACGCTCATGAATATACCCATGCTAACGGTTTCTGCGTCCGATCTGGCGCCAATATTGCTCGCGATTGACATTCTAGAGCGGACATTCACAGTCGAGCAAGATGCACCCCCGCTACCTCACATGGAGCTATGGAGTCCGTATTTCTGGCTCGGTGAGGCTCTTGTCAACAAGCGAATGTCACCTGACGGAATGAACATTCTTCTCAAGGCACTAAAAACGGTTGGGTTCATCATCGAGGCCAACTTTCCGGGTGCGGTCGACGAAAAGACCGGGAAAAAGGCAAGTCTGGAGATAAAGCGGTGGGGAGTTACGGACCATCGGATGGTGGAGGCATTCTTGCTGATGCTTCCCGCTTGCAGTACGCTTGCGCCTGAGCTCAGTGAGGCCATCAAAGGGTACGCCACCCTCGCCTACCGCATTGCCTATGGCGAGGATGAGACTTTCTCTAAACGTTATCCGAACTTTACCTACGAAGGTTCCACGTCTCGTAGGGAATACTGAAAGCTAGGGGTAACGATGTATGCAACATTGAGCTGAACGATAGTAACACTGGAATCCTGCGGTTTGGGATCTAGACTGCTAAATACGGCTTCTAATGCCAAGACTGGGAAAGGGCGGCTGGGAACTGCAAACAATATCGGGTCAATCTGGGACCTTCTTTTCTGTTGTACGGTGAACCTGTATTGTCGTCCATCTCTGTAACCTACATGTAGGTACCCAGTAGTTAATTAGCCTGTGACATACAGCAAGCCGCTTCCCAATACCGAGATATTCAATACCAAAGACTTCTAGATCATAAAATTGCCATCTCTATGCAAAGCCTGTCGTCGTTTATTCCTGGAGTACCGATCGGCCTTCCCCTGCCAGCGGCGGTGACCTTTCACCTGGAGAGCCCGGATGAGGTACATGGCCACGATCCCACGCGTCGTCATCGGGCAAGCCCTCCTAGACTTCTTCAGCCTCGCCATACTCATATCTGTTTCTTGTATGACTATGCACTCCGTTTCCCCTGATGAGTTAATCTGGCAGATGGTCTGGCTGAACCATGAGCACGCGTGATTTCGTCAGGACGCAGCGAGGTCGATTTATTACGTAGTAGTTATGCCACCTCTACCTGGTACCCCTGTTCTCCTGATTACAGCCGACCCTCCAGAACCACGGGCTGGCTCTAGTCTCCCGGTGAGTCTCGGAATATTTTTCGTATTCTGTCTTGAGTAGTGCTTTGATGGGCTCGTTGAGCACTTTGACGTAGCCATTCATGGAATAATTATCTTTTGCCTGTTCGACCCGCGGAAGTCGTTTCAGTTTCTCAAGCATATCGTTGTAGACTTAGGTGTGGATAGTAAAGGGTCAAATGTACACAACTTCTAATGCTTGATCAAATGCTCCTATCCTGTTCGCAATTAAAATAATATTCCGTTATAGTATTCCAAGATCCTGAGGAACACTAGAATAGATGATATTAGTATATAATGTGTAGTTTGCTGGATTGGGGCGCTGTCAACTAGGAACCTTCTCCGTTGGACTTCACGCGGATACGGCGCAGCCCGACTTTGACGGACTAGCTGCTATAATGCGAAGTCTGATCGCGTAATTGCTTCTCAACTGCAAGCTTTCAAGCCTAGATCTCGGGTTTGTATCTGAGGAGACTCTGGAAGGTTGCTATCGGGGAGACTGCCGAAGCCTTTGTGACGCTTTTGTTGGCCTTGTCAAGCAGATTCCGCCACACTTGCGCGTCTTTTTCGTTGTTGATAGTATCTCCTGATACGAGCAAGCTCCACGGCTGGCTGACCTGCACTGCATCGCCACGACGTTCGAATGTCTGGCGAAGCGCACTAGTTCTGGTCGTTCAGGGTCTACAAAGGTGTTATCAATGAGCCTTAGCCGCAGAAATTAGATAGTGGACTTGGCGTTGGGGAGAGGAAGCGTTTGGTGGTATGCACCCCTGGCATCCGGAGAGGTTCATCCAGAAATGGCCCCAAAAATGTTGGAGTATTAATGCCAACTATGCACAGGCTTTCGATGGTCAATATAACAATTGAATACACCAAGAGGGAAAAAAGGAAAGAGATTTGGGTAATGCACACAAAAAAAGAGAGCCAAAAAAGATGACTCGGATGGGATTCGAACCCACACCTCAATCCCGATGCGGCTTACACTCAACTGAAGGTCAGAGACCCAGGAGTCAGTACGCATTAGGAGCGTGCTACCACTACACGACCAAGCCTTTGTTCGTTAGTTGTTACTTGATCAACTGGCAATTAATAATTATATGTTAAACGCGTTTTGATGGGAATACCTCGGGTACCTAGTGATGCTATAGTAACAGACCCCTAATTCAACTGGGCAGGAGCGCCTTGCGCGTATAATAATTTTCGATATCACCACAAGTGTCAGTGCTGCGCATCGGAACAGTTCTTTCAACCAAGATCAGGTGGTTAGTTAATACTTGCCACATTTAGGGTGTTCAAGGTCACGAGAAGAATGTCGTTCGTTACACCAAGGCAGAGCCTCATACATAGGTGGACGAAAGTAAAAAAGGGGGTGGCGCTCAAGCTAGTTGCGCCACACCCTAAAAGCACCGAGTCCGACTTGACACTATATTGACCGAGCGCTAAATTCAAGGCTGTTTGAACTTTACATGAGCCTCAAACCCGGTCAAGATTTGATAAATACGGCAATTGGAGGATGAGTCTTTAGCTTCGTTCTCCGATACAGCTATCGCGAAAGGCAAAACTCCATGACTCCCTTATTGAAGTCCTAGTTACCCCTCAATTCTATATTTAGCACGTTTAACATGCTGCTCTCGTGTGAGCGACTATCGCGCAATACTATGTATCAGTCTGACATATCTGCATATCTAGGTATATAACCCGATGATAACTTGATTAGATACTACCCGAGCGCTGAGTTTCTGAGTCTGAGTATACTTCTACGCTACCATCGCCTACACCTCCCGGTCGTTCGCGATTCGCAACTAGGTGACGCACGGGCGTAAGCAACTGAATGATTTTACGAAGAGCAGTAACCTACCTACGATAAGCACTCTAAGGATTCATTTCGTGGAGTATCGGCACTATTATCATTGTTCATCTTCCTATCATTCAGTATCTTGAAGTCCTTAAAAGAAAGAGATTGTATGTAAGATGAAAGATCTGGAACTGCTGTAAAGAATCATACATCCATTTCACTGGTGGTATCTTGGCCCCCAAATAATGAAACCTGGAATATGACTAAACTCCGTATGCTTGAAATTTGGATCCTATGAGGGGATTACTGCAGGGCTCGGCGCGACAGAGCAGTAGGAGCAAGAGAATTTTCAGATTCGTAATAGGAACACCTCATAGCGGATTAGAATTATGGATTTCATTCAATATGTGCATGTAGTTTCGAGTATTTTCATCTACATGGTTACAATTTAAGTCTTTGACGAAGACAATTGTGCAATCCTGTGCATATGTTTCTTACATGGGCTCGGCGAATAAAAACGAATACTGTCACATATCACTTTCTTCCTACGAGCTCGCTTCGGGCATACATGGGCTGATGGAATGTAACTTCATGCGCTTACTTACCCTGGCGGCAACCATAAGATCTACAGCAACATAACCAATGGAACCGTAAATATGGTACACCCCATGCAGCTTGAGGCAGCCGTGCGTGAGAACGACACCGCCGCAACTCCTCCTGCACCTGACAGAAACGATGTTCCAACATCCGTTGTTTCTCGGACTGCAATTGACTGTCACCTTTTTGAATGAAGATATTTTTTATCCCGCGATTGATAGTCTATGGACGCGTCCCTTGAGACGCTGTATCTCGTTGCTTTACATGTAGATTGTCTCAATATTCATCATGGCGGACCCCTTGTCTATGGTCGCTAGTGTGGCTGGTGTGGTTGCCCTCGCGGCGTCCACTGCCAGGACCCTGATATCGCTGATCCAAGAGATGAAGGATGCTCCCGAAGAGATACTTCATATTCGTCGCGACGTGCAGAACCTTTCGGCTGTGCTTGGGTCCGTACACGAATTGAGCGCAAGACACGATTTAATGTCGGAAGATTTTACGCTGGTGGAAAGCTTGAAGGAATATCTCAATCTGTGTCAGGATAGTATGCAATCCATCCGAGCGATCATAGCGCCTCTGGTCGGAAAGGGTAACGGCAGAAGAAGCCCGATAAGAATGGTTGGGTGGGTGATGAAGAAAGGGGAAATCCGAGCACTAAGGGAGAGGCTTCAAGAGGGCAAAGCAAGTTTAAATATCACCATATCAGCGCTCAATGGGTTCGTATGCTCAGTTTGACGGCGGGGCTATCCCAATCTCCCAGAATTGCTATTTAACTGATTTGATATCGTAGGGTTCTTGAGGGTAAAGGGCAAGACGAGATCAAAAACGATGTTAACAAGGTCTACGAAAGGCTTGTCATCGAGTTTCGTAATAGGGACAGCGGGAGGAGAGTCCGACGACGTATGGAAGATGACGTCGCCAGCGTGTCAGCATTTAGCGTGAGGCGGCAAAATTCCGAGTTGACGGATGCTGCATTTCCCATGAAGAGATACTTCGAGCGACTACCAGAACCTCCAGAGCCCGAATCTAGCGGGAGTTCTCATTCTCGCTCTCATTCCAATAGCGAAACGCTGCTCAATCCCTTTTCGATTAACCCAACTACCTTGCTTGAAGCTGTTAGAGCTAGGGACAAGGAAGGGGTTGTTCGCTTAATCGCAAACGGCTCTTCGACGGCTGAAAGATCAGAGGATGGCCAAACAGTACTCCACTACTGTGCTATCTACAATGATCAGGAGATCGCCGAGCTGCTTCTTGACCATGGAGCGGACATCAATGCTAGGGATCATCGGCTACGCACACCCCTGAACGTCGCTCTCTCGTCTGAAGCAATGAACGTGGCCAATCTTTTAATTGAAAGGGGCTGTTCCCTTACCGGATCCATAGAAATGGTTTTCCCTTTAACTCAAAGGATAGAGGAGGTTCCTGGTGTTAGGATGCTACTCAAAACTCTAGCCCCGAAATTCAACAAGTCAACGTCGGGCCCATATCTCGTCCACCAAGCCGTCGAGTCAAATGACACGCAGAGCTTAGAGCTTCTCCTTTCAGTGGGATTGAATCCAAACGTGAGAAATAAATACGGTACGCGATATCTAGGCCTCCCTTCCCCACCTTGGCTAATTTCCATAAACCAGGGCTTCCCCCTTTGTATCAAGCAATGATGCTGCTACACAAACAAGCGGTTCAATTACTACTAGAACATGGTGCCGACCCGAACGACTACCTGCCACCAGAGACACGACAGAAGTTCGACGAAAAGATTAGCTCACATTCGAGAATAGCGGACAAGATGCATGATGGCATTACCCCTTTAGCCGTGGCAGCAAGAGTATTAAGGGATGTTGAGATAACCCGTATGTTACTGGATAGCGGCGCAGATCCTAACTTCATCTATCCTTCCAACGGTGAGTACGAGTAATACGCTTCCTAACAACCCGTCCTCTGCGAGTCGGAAGTCACTGACGCATTTCCAGGCGGTGTAATGCTGAGTGGCTTGGGCAGTGAGGAGTATCTCGAATGCGCCAAAGCCATAATAGACAAGGGCGCGAATGCCCACCTGGGAGGATTCGACAAGATGGATCCGATGTACTGGGCAAACGGGTGTAGGAACCCAAGACTGATAGATTATATGCTTTCCCACGGGGCGGCGGACGTGAACCACTTCTACTGGGACGAGAACCCAACTGCTCTCTTCCTCTCCTCGAGATGGGGCTATTTGAAAAATGTCGAGGTCCTCCTGAAACACGGCGCCGATTTGACCATAAAAAATAAATCTGGGATGACCGCGCTGGACGTAGCTCGAGCCGAGAAGCATCAAGACGTCGTCGACGCGCTGACGAGAGCTATGTCAGAGAGTAACAGTGGATAGCCACTCTACATAGAATTGAAGAGGTTTGATTGAGATAACCTCACGTGGGCCAGCTAGATGAATAAGAAGACGGTGCGCTGGGGGTGACGGGAATGAAAAAAGACGCCAACTGGGGGAATCGAACCCCCAGCCTTTTGTGGACGCGAAAAACCCCTCCTGGCCCACCGGCTAGGCCGATTGGGGTTTTCTACTCCCGGGGGGGATTGGTGCCTAGGTAACTGAGCTACCTGGGCTCGCCCCCGGTGAAAGAACTACCATCTATTGTATTATTTAACCCTTGGGTCCAGTGCAAACGGGTGCGTTGCGCAAGTGACTGATAGCCACTGTGTATCTGGTGGTCACTGCGTACCTGATAGGCTGATAATCACTGCGCGCCCGATGGCGATGTGTCCTCCGAAGTACCAGTCCACACCATGATAGGTATCCAAAAGACAAGACTATCGACGGTTATTGGTATACAAGACCAGGAACCGGGGATTGGTATTGAGCGTCGAGCCTACGTGTTGAGGCATAGTCATCCCGGGAGCGAGATAGGCAACGGAGCGATAGCCGATTTATGACATTTAGAGGCGATGAGAGACTACAGGGAGATTGTTAACTATTCATTAGGATACCCATTTATATAAGTTCGAATACCCAAAGATAGATACTCCTAGGTAGTGTGTATCAGGCTCATATTCCATTCACCCCTAAACCATAGCATCATGGTGTCAATGCTTCGGCAACATCAGCACGTCGCACCAACACTCAGATCTATAAGGTCGATCGCCATGTATGCCTTCTCGCGACCACCAGTACCAACACAAGCGAAGTTAAATAAACCTTTGAGGGAATCCAATGCATATGAGTCCCATACAACGACATCCAAGTTATCCCACGCTGCTATATGCTCACCAATCCTTTCTATGACCCCTATGCCCCTCTACTTGTAAACAAACTCCCGCTAGCAGTAAATATCCACCCATCAACCTTCTCAAATGTTCCAAACCCCTTTCCAAACTCCCCAATGTACACACACTCCGTCCCCATCAAGTCAAAAACGCCGCAACCATAAGCTGCACGGCAGCCTCCTGCGACCCAATCGTCAAGCGATCAAAGGGGCCCTGCCAGCGAAACCCGTAGAAATCCGACCCGTCGTCCCTCCGCGCGTGCTCGTACGCCCATCGCGCATTGGCCTCGAGGAACGCCGAGTACGGCCGATCCGGCAGCACGGCATTCAGCTTCGCCAGCTCGCGCGCGAAGATGCCCTTGAACGCGGTGCCGTTGGGCTCGCACTCGGTCTCGGACGCGCACGG